TATGAATTGAGCTTTTATGGTCATTATAATCACATTGAAAGCAATTGCTGACATTGAACTATGAAAAAAGTACAAGGGGGAGTATAAATGAAAGAGAGGAAACTTAAGCATAGGCCTGGAATGAATAATCTTTCAGAGGTTATGCAGCCAAGAAGTATGTTTCAACAAATGTAGATTTGTTCTTGATTTATTCACTGACTAGCCTTCTGAATTAGATGACTGATCACATTGGGCTTCAGGAACTTCTGTAGGCCATGGTCGCCAAAATATAATCTCTCCATAAACTTAACTAAAGTTTTTTTTGTTGCCTAACACATGAAATCTAGCTCATGTATATATGCTAACCAATTACTGAAACCTCTTGAGCATAAAGTAGGCAGCAATTACATTTCCTTAAAACAAACAACAGCAGCAAAGAAAACTCCTGCACACTGTCTAACTTGCAAAAATATTATTAAATATATTTTGATGCCAGACCTTCATCAGGAAAAATTACTGTTATTAAAACAAATAAGAAATATATTTTATTTTATTAGAAATATATTAATGTAATTTCTATGGGCCAATGTTGCATAGAGCGGGTTAGAAGCAACAGAAAGTTGGCTTCTTAACTTTACAGCCCCTGAATGAGTCTGATCCGTACTGCCTTATCACTTTCATCACCATACTTTAGAAAAGATTTAGAAAAAGCTTTTTGGGGTGAGAAAATGTATTAGTGTGGCTGCAAGTCTATTGCATAGTATGGAGACGTGTTTAAATTTAATCCTGCTTTCATTTTTGATATTTAAATAAATATATATTTCATTTGCTTAAAGCTATACCAACCAGTTACTTTCACTTGTTGGATAATTATTAATCCTTTACTGATGTGCTGGTGCTTTGCAAAACTTATTTTACATAGACATTATTTGGCCTCAAGGGTCAATGTTAAAACTCTTTTTCTTCTGCCCACTGTATGACTGGTTACAGCCCCCTGAGAAAGTAGTAAATTCTTCCCAACATACATGCCTGTTTACCATATGTAGGGTATGTTATATAAGACAGAGATGGAACACCCACATATGTGTTATTTATTGATGAATTATGCACCCAGTGTGAGGGTCATCGCTGTGTGGTCCGCCCCTCAAGAGAAATCACTATAATATCCCTGTAACTTTAACCCATAAGCTTTGTTTCTTCATCTTATTTGTTTATTGATGCAAGAAACAAAAGCTATGTAAACAGTTTCCTCAGAAGTGCACATTTACAGCTCGATGCTCTGCAGTCCGAAAAGTTTATTTAAATAAATCTTTCTGGACTGTTGCACAACTGTAATGGAGAAAAAACCCTGGTAAGGGTGTTTATATGGCGAGTGAGATTAATATCCAATCCAAAATCAAGAATCAACAGTGAAAACTTCCAGGAAATTATATTATATTTAGTATGTATAGTTTCAAAAGATACATAATTAGGCATTTTAAACATTCACTTTATTAATAAATAGATATTGAACCTTGACATTCCACAATAAACATGCATAAAACATAAAAAATGCATAATGCCTGGGTGCATTAATTTCATTTATATCAGTGAATTTTATTGGTCAGTATGTTGTTATAAGAGTTTGTTGATGTCTGAGGGGAAATTCACATGTTACACCAGCACAGAGATGGGCTGAGAGGTGAGACAAGACTCTTTGAATGAAATAAGTTAGCTAAACTAAAATGAGATTAAAGAAATCAAAAGGGTTACATTAAAATGCTTTATACAATATATACATTACAATACTGTAGACTGTATAAGTGAATTGTGAATATTTGAAGAAGTCGAGTTGTAGAGTAACTACTTCTTATACTACTACTCCCATAGTACATACACTATATGGCCATAAGTTTTACGACACCCCTTCAAATGATTGAAATCAGGCGTTCCAATCACTTCCATGGCCACAGTTGTGGCAGTGATTAGGAACATCTGAAACGCAGCCACGAAGTGGTAGGCCACATAAAATCACAGAGGGGGGGTCAGAGCATGCTGAGGCGCACAGTGTACAAAAGTCATCAGCTTTCTGCAGAGTCAATAGCTACAGGCCTCTAAACATTGTGTGGCCTTCAGATTAGCTTAAAAACAGTGCGTAGAGAGCTTCATGGAATGGGTTTCCATGGCTGAGCAGCTGCATCCAAACCTGTGAAGCCTGTAAAGCACGCCACCACTGGACACTAGAGCAGTGGAGACGTGTTCTCTGGAGTGATGATTCACGTTTCTCTGTCTGGCAATACGATGGACGAGTCTTGGTTTGGCGGTTGCCAGGAGAACGGTACTTGCCATTGTGCCAAGTGTAAAGTTTGGTGGAGGGTGGATTAGGGTGTGGGGTTGCTTTTCAGGGTTTGGGCTTGGCCCCTTAGTTCCAGTGAAAGGAATTGGAAATGCCTCAGCATACCAAGACATTTTGGACAATTTCATGCTCCCAACTTTGTGGAAGCAGTTTGGGGATGGCCCCTTCCTGTTCAAACATGGCTGCGCAGCAGTGCACAAAGCACGGCCCATAAAGACATGCATGAGCGAGTTTGGTGTGGAGAACTTGACTGGTCTGCACAGAGTCCTGACCTCAGCTCGATAGAACACCTTTGGGATGAATTAGAGCAGAGACTGCGAGCCAGGCCTTCTCGTCCAACATCTGTGCCTCACCTGAAAAATGTGCTTCTAGAAGAATGGTCAAATATTCGCATGAACACACTCCTAAAGCTTGTGGACAGCCTTCCCAGAAGAGTTGAAGCTGTTATAGCTGCAAAGGGTGGGCCAACTCTATATAAATGTATATTTATAAATGAACTTGATTATATGCAGGTAAAAAGCTAGATTTATGTGAGCCTCTACAATGGTGAATCTAACGATTCTGTTTTTTTCCTCCTCAAAAATAAATCAGTCTGTTGTCAGTGTTTGATCTCCTGTCCTGCTCGAGTTACATACACAACTGCAGAAGCATGAACCCTGATAATTGTGTCATCAAATTCTCTGATGACGCAGCTATCTTGGGCTTAATGCACAAGAATAGCGCCCTATCAGTATAAGGGGAGAGTTGTGAAATGGTGTGATAAGGGCCATCTCACACTGAATGTAAAAAAGATGAAGGAGACAGTTTTTGATCCCAGAGGTAAAAGCTTATGGTTATCCATCATGCACCCATCACTCACATCAGTTCCTGCAGGATACTGCAGGAGTTTCCACTGACAGTACACCAACCTGGGAGAATAATATTGAAAGATGTTGTTCCTGATTTCAGTAAAGACTGCATTTCTTACACAGGCAGGGTTTATGGAGCAGCACAGTCCTGGAGAGTATCATAAGATTTACTGTTTCAGCTGAGGATGATGATTTCCTTGTGCAGCTAAATACCTCAGACCTCAGGCAACACCTTGCATGGGTAGGCTTTTTTTTACGCCGTGCAGATAAAAGTGTCTCTGACTTAGCTTTTCCATCAGACTCCGGTATAGTCCAAATTTGAAATGATCCTTAATTCTTTCATCAATCAAGCTTTCTGAGTATCAAATGTCCCAAATGCAGTGGGCTGTCTGTTAACTGCAAGAGTACTTGTAAACTGTAACCATTTATGAGTTTAATTGCTGTTTGTGGGCAAAAAGTTAATCTTATCCTTTTAACAACACATTAAGTCATCAGAGGATGGTAGTTAAATAGCATGCTGGACATTCGTGTGTTATTTCTACGCATTTTAAGCTTTTTGAGTGTCATTTAATATTGTTAGAGGTGATTCATTTCATGGGTACTAGACGTGCAGGAATGGAAATGACCTTTATCAGGTGACCTTTGTCATCATGGTAACAAGTTTGATTAGGTTTAGGCAATAAAAATACTTGAAGGTTTAGGTTTAGAAAAAGATCACGGTTTGGATTTGGTTGATTCAGGACACAAACAGTGGTCTCATGGGTGAAATTCCTGCATTTGTTTGTTAAGTAAGTTAAATATGTTACAGAAGTTAACTCTCGTATGTAAGTTAAAATAAGATGTAGATTTTTGGTTTCACAAGAAACACAAACAGCGGCCTCCTGGGTAAAAATCCTGTGTTTGTTTGTGACATAAGTTAAATGTATAACTTATGTGTGTAAGTTAAAATAAGTCAGCATTGATCTTTGGTTTCACAGGGGACACGAGCAGCGGCCTCCTGAAAGTCCTGTTGTCCTTGTTTGACCCATCCGACTAACTCCCTGTGCAGACTTTGTTGCTCTTTACACTACGTCATGGACAGTTTGCCCATAAGAAAATGGTTTTCTGGTGTGAACTTGACTAGGCTGAACAGAGATTTGGAGAGGAAAAACAAATTAACTAATGCTAACATACAATAATGAAACATCCAGCTGGAAACCTTATAGCATATGATCATTTTCAATATTTGAAATAAAATATTTCTAGTTAGTAAAATAAAGAAAGAGTTCATAAAATATTACATTCTGAAACTAACCAAAGACATATCAATGACAACAATTTCTCACTCTTGGCACAGGTTATGTGCACCACAAAAGTGGGGCATTGACCCAAATTAGGGTCAAGGCCAAGGAGTAGTCAAATATAGAGCATTTAAAATGATGTTTCCAGTCCCTGTCACTTTATGTAGGTTGGCAGCTATACCAGCTATAGCCACAGACACGTATTCTTCACAGCCTGGAAAACAGAAGGTGTGAAGAGATTTCATGTATAGAGGATATAGCCATTGGTGCAGCCATGTGGCTTTAAATGTAAGCTGTTGAATTGTTTACATTTAGCTCATGCTATAAATACTCTCCAGTGTGTTTATCTACGACTTTTATCTTATTCCTTCTCCTGTTTAGTAACTGTGTAAGGACTTACTTTGTCTAGGGTTTGTTATCATTTGAATATCTAGGTAACAAATGTCTAAATACGAATATTAGATAGATGAACCTTTTCTGCAGGTTGCTGAGAGATCCGTTGCCTTGGCTCTCCCTCTAAAATGTAGGGTGACTAAAGCAGCAGACATGCGTGGATGTTCTCGTTAAAAGGAGAGACTGACGCTCCTATTCCCGCGACATCATCATCCCACACTAGTGGAGCTCCACGGTGTGCGATGTGATGATGCTCAGTCCTGCACAGTAGCAGCTACAGGAGGCGTGCTTGTCCCTGCCACAGGAGCACAGGAGGAGGACTGGAGCAGAGGCCAGCAGCCGTTTACCGGGCACTTAACACATTGTAAAACAGAGCGCTTTTTGGGGGGTGCTCTGTCCACCCACTCTTCCGAGCAATGGCATCCACGGATCTAGCAAAGGGAGCGCGTGAGTTATTCTCCTTATACAATCTGTGCATTGTCTTTCATGTGACGGATAGTGTGTGCTGAAGAGCAAACTGGATGTGTAACAGTGTAGCGCATCACAGCCATGTTTTAGTCATCGCACCAGCAGAGCTCAGCCTCGTTTTGAAATCAAGATCAAACATCATCATCTGCTGTGTTTGTTTATTGTACGCGCAATTTATTTGCAGTAACCACAGCTGATGTATACATCTCCTTAAAGGAGACGCGTGTGCGCGGCGCTTTGGCAACATCAACACCACAGAGCGATGCCCTGGCCGCAGGCAGCCTTCAACTTCAGCTCAGTGCCGATGGAAAGCGGTCAGCAAAAGTAGCCTACATCTGTTCTGTGGCCTGCTTTTATTCTCTGTATATTAGTATCCAAATGAGATACAAGAAACAATCAGAAAATCAGCCTTTAAAATCTCAGCGCAGCCTTCAAAAAAAGGACATACAGCTGAACTCGCACGGTGTTGTAGCTTATACCATCTTGGAATATCATTTGAATTGTAATAGTAAACTTGGCAGACTGATGATATAAATATTCAAACGCAGTTTTTAGTAGCCTACAGCAAAAATAACTGCCGTCTTGAGACCCGGTAAGAATATTTATTTAACAACAATAATTATTTTTCTAAGCTGAAAATGTGCCAATTTCGTGTAAAACTAAAATTGGACTTCTCATGATGTTTTAGATTACTGAAGAACGACCCAACTCCCATAAATATATCAGCATAGCCTTCTGGCATCACAGCTGAACTTAAATTGTATAGTTTCCCCTTTGAATAGCATTTGAATGTTACAGATGTTTAAAAGACAAGCCTGATAGTGTAGTAATATAAATCTACAAACTCACTTTTAAGTAAAATGAAACCCATCATTTACATCCCTCTAAGAACATTTAGAGATTTTAGGCTAGTAGAGAAATATGAAAAATGTGTTTAAAATCTGTCTCTTTCACTTTGAACCAAAAATGTCAACTTGATCTTGGCAGTAGAGGAATAATCGGTGGATCACTGAAATCATTACTTACGATACATCATCTGGAAACCATGAATATCTGTACCATTTCATGGCAAACCAAGTCTTGAGCAAAGCGGTGGAACGACTGACTGACAGACAGGCTGACATTGCCTGCCCTAGAACCACGCGGCTAAAAACAGTCTAAGAGAATTTGCTAAAAGAGCAGCTAGAATGTTTTGAGGAGTATTTCTGGCTTGGAAATGCACTGCACATCAGACTAAGGATATAGATACATGCAAGATGAGATCAAAATGGAAGATACCCTTTTAGTAGAAGAGCTTACATGTGAATATAGCTTTGCTGATCAAGATTAAAGATTTTAGATTATACTGAAGTGGTGAGTGCTGCCTGTATGAAGTGAGGCTTTAAAGGGGCCTGTTATTGTCCTCAAAGAAAGCCCGGGGTGGATTAAGAGTGGACAGAGACGTGGTGCTGAAATGCAGCCTGGTTCATCCTCACTGGTCTCTCATGTGGAAGGCTGTAAAGTTCTAACCATGAAAGAGGACTGCCTATGCCGAAAAACCCATGACCATTTCTCGCAGTATTGGCATTCAGATCTCTGATTCAAGTCATTATTTCACATGCTCCGACAGGCCTGATAATTAGCTCCGTGCCACAGTCTGTCAGTCATTGTCGGTGTCTCTGCAGTGGCCTATAAGAGGGGTCAGTAGGTTACATTAAGAACTCCTTATTTTTCACTTTCCCTTCATCTGCAGAGCCTGATCTCACTGGTCTTCAGACTTCAGTTGAGTACCACCACTTCATTTGAAGTATTCAGCCCACCCTTATACTTGTCAGTTCCCAGGGGTTCCTGTCTGAGGGAGTTAATTTAAGGAAGTAAATCATGGCTTAAGCCTACCTGCTAATCACCAATCACAGAACCACTGTACTGTTGTAAGTCTCTCATGGGTCTGGGCTTGTTTTTCTGTATTTCTGCCCTCGTTAATCATGTTTCCCCCCCACAATTTTAAATTGGATCCCAGCAAGCTCCTCCATGCTTAAAGCTGTTGTATAATGTACTTTGTTATGTGCTGATGAGTGCTGCTGATGCTGTGCTTTCTGAAACATGATGTGCTGTGAAGTGAGGTTAGAGTATGCCAGTGATTTCATTCTCTTGAGGAAATGGCCTCTCAGTCTGATTTTGTTTTGAACCATATTAGACTTATACTAAAGATACTCTCCCAGTCAAATACAGTGTAGCAACAGGGTTGGTTCATTTTAATTTGTTTGATGGCATCAAGACATTTTACAGGAGAATGTGTCACAGTTACAACATGTTTGGTTCAGCTCTGTGATCATGGACAATTCAGGGGGTTTACTGACGCACTCACCCTGAGAAAATTGGCACCTTCGAGTGAACAGAGAAAGTGTTTTTCTCTGTTGAATGAATTAACTTTCAGAAGCAAATGGGAATTACAACTGAAACAGTTGCTGTTAGCACGCAATGTTCTGGATAATGATACTGCATCTGAAAAATCATGTCCTTACAAAAAAACATGTAGATCTATTTTATAAGAAGACAACTGCAAACACATTATTAGGCCTCATTCAAATCAAAATAATCTAACTACAAACTACTGAACCTTTAAACAAAAAAAAGGAAGCATTTGCAAATTGTCAGTGTTGCAAAGTCAAGAGAGCAGTGGATTGTGAAGTCTATTTCAGCTTTTTTAGTGGCACATTTTGAACCCTGCAGATCCCTAAAATAGTCTTTCTGCAAATTACACATTAAATTCTGACAAGCATGTAAATGTAAATCTGTTTTTCACTTTTCATTAGCACAATCCTTCTCCCAAACATGCCAATAATGACATTAATTAGATTTATAAATGGTGCAATGTTTTTTTTGTAACTTTTTTTAATCTCCATCTCATAAATAAATAAAGTCAAATGCAAGCATTAGCCCATTTATAAATGATGTGTTACATAAATGTACCTGACTTAAAAACTATAAGTTAGAGGTGTTCAACCTGTCTTCGCTCAAGACAGATTATAACACTGTGCCACTGTTAGTCTAAACTAAACTAAACAGAAAAGTATATCATTTGTCATTGCCTTCTAAAACCATTATGCATGATTCATATGGCCATTCCTGTATGTAACATAATATAAAATAATATATTTAACAGTGGATCACTATTGATGCAGGAGAACCATCAATGTCATCTTGTTAATTCATGAGCATTTTTCCTCCTCGTCAAAAACTGGTGCCTACATTACCCACAATGCAACTTGACAGTCTGGTGCTCGTAAGCCACTAGCATCAAGCAGAGATGAGGACCGGGCTACAGAGGTCTGGTCAGCTTACTTCACACATTCTCCACACATTTTCAAACTCGGTCTTAGTCGTAGTCTTCATCTCCAACCGACGCTGACTCATGTGATATCACTTGAGGCAATTTATCAGATTTTGTGCATCTCCCTCTGGATCCATGAAAGCCTTTATACAACTAGTTCACATATACAGTACTACTCCCCAGACCTTAAAACAGACTTTGATGTGTAATATCTGTGGAGTTTCCCTTTAAGGCGTGGGAAAGATTGTGGAAGTGGTTAAAAGAAACCAATATTGCTTGTCGCAGGCTTTTTTGACCCCTCCTCCTCCTCCTCCCCCCACCCCCCCATGAGGTTTGGTGGTACAATAATAACATCACGCTACTTTTGCCTTCGTTCCTGATAGACAAAAGTAATGATTTACAAGAGAGGTCCTTGTCATTAAATGCAATCATATGTTGTGTAGGAAAGTCTTGCGAGTCACATTATTGTTCTTCACGTGCCAGAACATGCACTATATGACTGTTCCCTTTGACAGAATCAGAGAATTAGACCTGTCAACATGTTGAGAGCAACACTGCAACACTGAAAAGAAGAAACATATTTGTCTACATCTTATTTAAATCTTTGTAGAGGCGGCTGTGACATAATATTACACTGGAACGTTTAAAAATCATCAGAAAGACTGAAGGCAACCAGCATTTTTTTATGTTGTGAAACCCTCAAAAACCTCAAATACTGTGTGCTTTATTTCCTTTTTCATCTGAGGGTTTACTGTACATGAGCTGCATCAGGATGGCATAAACAGTGAGTACTTGAGGTTGTCTGTGTCCTTGATCACAACGGTTGCGCAGTCTGGATTAGATGTTCTGGCAGCTTCACTGATTGTTCTGTCCTGTGTCACAGGGACACAGGTTTAGCATAAATGAATAAACCTCTGATGAACCAGTATTGAATGAAATGTTCAACTGAAATGATTATGTGAAATGGATCTAAAGGGAATAATGCCAGAGCCCAGAGGGCAGTTGGTGTGAGAGAATAACAATATTGTGTTTATGATCCAACAAAACAGGGTAACTGTGGTTATTTTTAACCCAAGCCTTCCTTTTATTCTGCCTGTTCCAACTCTTTACTGAAGCTATATGACATTTCAACTGAGTGAAACGATCAAACCAAACACTCCAAAAATTCTTGATGCCTTCTGGCATCATTTTACACTAGTAGAGTAGCTATCTGGATGGCAATGTTGGTCTGATGGTTGGTCGGTCCACCGCTTTGGTTTAGATTTTAACAACGATGGATATATTGCTATGGAATTTGGTGCAGACATTCATGTTTCCCAGACAATGAATTCCACTGACTTTGGTGATACCTTGACTTTTCCTTTAGCAGCACCATGAAGTTCACGTTTGTGGTTAAGTGAAATATCTCAACAACAATTGGTCAGATTGCCATTAAAATTTGGTACATTCATTCATGTCCCCCTCAGGATTATTACTAATGTCTCTGGGGATCCCCTAAATATTTATCTATTGCCACCATCAGGCCAAACATTTAATTTGTCCACTTACACTTTGTTTTATCACCAAATACCAACAAAACTAATGGCATTAAACTCCTCTGTACTGTATTTAGTGCTAATTAGCTAATCTTTGCAAGCTAAATTAGGATGGTGACCATGGTAACATA